ATATCAGAACATTAAAATACGTAATAATGAAAATACATTTATATGGATAAAAAAACTGGTATTCCGCAATGAAAATAATAATTATTTTACATACAATATGATGCAGCTCTATGTCTCCTCAGCTCCCAATAAGGAAGATGTAACCCTGAAATTTCCAACAAAAGACACAGAAAAGGAGATTTTGTTAGTAAGTTGGGTTCGTTGGATCAGGATTCACCTTGATAAGTGATGCGACCATGGTGTTAAATTAATCAGTGTTATCATGCATTATACTTGGATTTGCCCGAAGCCAAAACCAAATGGTGTATCATTGGGCCTTATTACGGGTGTCACTACACGGTGATAAGAAAGTGATACTCAGAATAAGAGCCTTTGATTACCGTACAAATCAAATGGGAATCACTTCACCGTGACGACAAGTGACAACTTTTCACCGTGATGTGACATCCGTAATAAGCCCCCTTATAATATAAATCTGAAGACGTTCCATCATCGAAATGCTGAAAATGAACTTAGAGCATGAGCATGAGCAAAATTGATCGCCCGCGACTGCCAACACAAAAGAGCTGAAAACCAATTCAAACAAATCAAATCAACAGACAAAACCAGGGTGAAAACTGTAAGAGTGAATCATTACAGTATAAATCTAGTGATGTTCCGTCATCAAAGAGCTGGAAGAAAACTCAAATAATTTAAATCAATAGATCCAGTCTGAATGAAGGCTGCAAAAAGAGAATAATTATACAGCAATGACCCCATTTTGTCAGCTAGCAAAGTATGTGTATCTTAAACATTCATCTTGAAGGAGGAAGGTATGAAATTACAATTATGTGGAATTATTGAAAAATAACAGTCTGATGCGCGGAGAGATTGACAGGATCGGGTCATATAATGTGAATATTAGGAAGATTTATCATCATCAAACTATTCTTGAATTGACCTGGAAGAATGCTTGTGAATAATTGTTATACAGATATATTAAATTGATAAACTAAATGGTTCAAACAACAACTCCAGCCTGTAAAAAAGCTGAAAATAGGGAATCTTTACAATGTGGATCCCCGACGGTCTTCTACTCAGTAAGCAAAAGCGGCAGCCACCAGGCTAGTCGATCTGCTCAATTTAAATATTGAAACCTTATTTTATGAAGTTCTTAAGAATACCAATTGAAACACAATGTAAACAAATAAAAGTTAAGAGTCTCATCCGAATCAAATGATTCCAAACGATACGCATTCATAGAAATTAAGTTTAAATAGACACAAGTAGAAAAATGGAACAATCTCACCAAATCAGTCCAACTGAATCCCTTGCAAGCAGCTATGTCACGCTTGGTGTAGTAGCTCCGATCATAGACCCGCCCTACGGGGATCAATCCTCTGGTCGAATGTAGTCGATTGCTCCATGACGCGAACACGAAGCGACCGCTCACAAAATCATACAACGCGTAAACAAACTGAAATCAAAAACTATCACACGCGACGCCACAAATTTCTGTACCGGGAGCACAAGCGAAGAAAAAAAACAAACAACGCAGATAGCGACACTTCTTCTGATGCCTGCAAACATGATGCATCACGTTTTCTTTTTCGATTCCAAAACTTCTCGGAAAGCGAGAAAACCACCAATCACACACGTATAACCGTCCGGGAGGCAGAGTGCCAGCGCTAATCTGGCAAAATCAGCGAACGCACGCACAAAACAGAAATAAACTTATACACAACCGTATCCGAACAGGTTCGAAGCTGAACTGTGAAGAAGCTTATTATTGCCTGAATAAGCTCTTATTCAACATTGAATGTTTGTTGGGTTGCCGGGACGATCCAGTATTGACCCTACAACAATGGGCCTAGGCTTGTTTTTAAGAATTTTTGTAAGTTTCCAGAAGGGCTTAGCACAATCTGGGAGAGAGCGGATCTTATTAGCAAAACCGTTATTTCTGAGATCCACCATCCTGGCCTGAATTATCTTTGTTAATCGATTACAATTGGTCTTCAAGTTAGGCAGGCCAGAACGCTGGTACTGCCTACGAATGGTGTTACGGAGTCTAATGAGATCTTTGGTAGGGCTGTCAAGGTTCAGAGTGTTACTCACCTGTCTGGATACTGGCACGTGTTGTTCCCTGGCCCGGGAAATCGCCTCCTCGATGGTTTGTAGACACCGGTCAACATCTTCGGACGTCCCCGGTTGGACATCGTAGTCGATGGTTGTGTCGACGCAGTGTTGATATTGCGCCCAGTTGACTCGATGGTAGTTGCGCCGGGAAGCTTCGAATCGGTTAACCGAGGATCCAACTTCAGCCACCAACGGGTAGTGGTAAGAGCTCAGCTCCTGGAATGCCACAGGTTACGAGATGTTGTGTCTCATGTTGCTTACGAAGATGTCGATGGTCGCATGGACCCCAGACCGACTCAACCGGGTGGGAGAGTCCGGGGCCAAGATGGTATAGTGACCCTCTTGCAGGTCTTCATCGAGGATGATGCCGTTTCTATTGCTCCGACTGTTGCCCCAAGCTTGGTGTTTTGCGTTCCGATCGCCAGCGATGATAAAGTTCCCGCTCCTCCGGGTGAGTTTGATGATGTCTTTCCGGAGGGTCACTGACGACCCGTCCCTGATGTTGGTTTGCTTGGGGCAGCAGGCCGCGATGATGGTGATTGGGCCAAGTGAAGTACTCACCTCCACTCCGAGCTTAGGTAGCTCGTATTTATATCCTTCGTTATTTTCATCTATTTTCTCATTGGCTGCTAGCTGTGTCAGGATTTCCCCTCACGATAAGTTTTCGTTCGCATGTTCTTTTCTATCACCTCTATCATGTTTCACGGCAAGTAGATTTTACTCATATTGAGAGTTTCATTACTTGACTTAACTCTCATTTTTTTACGCCTTAAAATAATTGTTTACCATTTGTATTTCACACTAACTTTATCTACCACAGTCGAGTTTAGCGATGATATGATAAAATTTCGTCTCATCGCGTGTCATTCCTCGAAGCACAAATCGAGCCTCAGCTTGTGCAAACTAGAGTCGGTGTATAATGAATCACGCCAAGAGTGAAGCCAAGTCTACCTATTAAACTGTCAAACCAGCTACCTATCGTGCAAAGTAAACAAACATTACGATGCTAAGAAAGGTTCACGATAGGTATTGCAATAAAATATAAAATATAATCGACGAAATGATCATAAACACGCAGTGAGCATTCAATTGTCATGGGATACGTTTGATAATGATTAGTAATGCAAGTTTCTACTATTTTTTGTTAAGATAATTTGAAAAAATCACTGATATAATGGTTTACTACAGCCGCAGTCATTTGAAGTTGATGTAGAAGTCCTCTGTTGCCAAGTGAAAAGAAAGGGGATCTTTCGAAAACCGTAATGCGCGTTCAACTGTTTTTCTCTTGGCGTGACTCATTATACACCGACTCTAGTGCAAACCACATAGCTGGGTCGGACTTCCAAAGATCGGGTAGCTTAATCACCGCGACCGCTTAGTTGCGACCGAAACTAACACAGTTGGATTCACTGGTTGAACCATTTTGTGATTAGAAGTACACAATAGCGGCCGAGCGAAGCGAATTACATTTACGTTGTTTATCGAAACGTGCGGGGAAAATCTCGAAAACTTCACGACTGTGGTCACCAATGTGGTGTGCTGGAGACTGTAAAATGAAGCGAAATCGGCTTATTGAACTTCCCTGGTGACGATGTATGATGACCAAGGGGGTGACAGCGCCACTAAAGTATAGAGTTGATAGTTCCGTTAGAGTACGGCAGTGTGAAAATAGTATAAAAGGACAATTTTGAGGAAGGTACGAATCGGGTTGATCATCTCCTTTACCAAACCTCTCCGTTTAGAAGGGATGGTGCGGGGTATCCCCTCCCCCTGCCACCATCGGCAAAATGTATGATCCACGATTTGCGCATGTACCTCCGTTGTGTGGAAACAGTTCTATCGATTGTTTCACACTCAACTTGCCATCTGACGTAGCATCTAGCCGAAAGGTTTGGAAATTACAGCTATTGTCATCGTATACTTAACGATCCCAAGGAGACATGGGTAGGGGAGGTGCTGCTATTGTACATTTCGACTAATGACAAATTGGGTTGTTTAACTTCGAAAAATATACCGATTTATATACATCATCTGATAGAGCTTTGTTTTCTGAGCACAACGATATTGACGATGACGACTTTTAAATCAAGATTTAAATTTTTGATCGTTGACACTAAATCTTTTCGTTGACAGCTCGCTAAGATGGTGATTTTTGCTAATGTAGTCGTACTTATTTAAAATAGTTCCTGTGTACCAAAAGTAATGAAATTTTGGATTTCGGTTCCATTTTTAATGCAGATAACGAATATGTATTTACCTCAATACCCCTAAACAACACAATTGACGGTAAGCGCCCATCTGAAGTTAAGCATCTCCAACTATTAGCGAATTTGTTTTTGATTCTGATCCAACGAGGATCGGGTATCAAAATTGGGCAACAAGCCTTTCAAACGTCAGTGTTAACGTTTGTTTTATAACCTGGCTCGGGTTGAGGTTCGCACGGGTTGGAACTGGTGCCAATCTGGATAATAAACAAATTCGCTATATGTAAATCGTTAACATCACGCATGAAGTTATAAAAACATGATTACTTAAAGCACAAAGCTCTAGGGAAAGTATATAATGAAAAGGGAAAGAGTTTACTATTCTAGACGTCAAAGAAGACATCCGGTATGCATTGTCAACCAAGCAAGATTAAAACACTAGCTGAAAGTGTTCAGGAACGCGTTTCTCATTTACTTTTAATTTACAAATTTATTTGAATACCATTCAGGAATAAGTTGCTTGAATTCCTCGTAAGAAACACGTGCAGAGACCGTAAGAAGCATATAAAAAGGGATTTCGGACATCATTGAAAGTGGCTTACTTCTGTTACACTGTTGTTTACTCTAGAATCTGTACAAAAAAGATACACCTGGCATTTTCAGATTTTTTATCTCTTAATAGCAAATAAACATTGCTCACTAAAGTGTACTGAATACACCTTGAATATAATCGATTTGAGAACGTCCATGAAATTTTGACCATCTCGTTTTTTTATGATCACTTAGAATAGTTCACTTGAAATGGATTCTTTTTCGATTCTGTTCAACTTGTCGTCTTTCGATGAAAATGAAAATATTTTTACAAGGTCTCGTTCCCTTTATCAACGACAAGCATCGTTCCCTGAATACATTATCTATATTACCGAATACTACTGATTGATCATTTTTATGATAATATGGACACTCATTACACTAACTGCTTCGCAACTCACAGCATTTCATTTATCTTATCTTCGTTGAAATCAAGCATGGAATTCCTTCCTCGTTCATTCTACTCTTTAGTAAATAATTTTAATAAATAATAAATAAGTAACCTTTCAAATTAAATGCACCATGTAAAGAGCAAAGCAAGCAGTATATCTGCGAATTTTACTGAATCACGTTTCTGAATCAATGACACTAGTTTTTACACAAAATTATTAGTAATAAACTCACACACGATCAAAAGCATATCCTTAAATACTGACATGTTGAAATGAATCCCAAAAAATCTCCTACCTCTTTTTAATGGCTTGTTCAAGCCAGCCAATCATAACATGTTACAAGGCTTTCTTGATTGATTTTTTATAACATGTTACAACGGCAATGTATTGTGGGCTGGACACATATTATAAATCATACACCAATTGTTGAGCATTTCTACATTGCCATCTTGTTTACGCCGTTGTCCAGGTGTATCACCGTTTCATCTTTGGATTCACTTTTGCTAACGCTACGCATCTCACGTTCAATGTCATCATGTATTTCATTTTCATATATGTTATTGTGAGTATTTTCTTGTACTGAATCTTCCTTATAACGCTGCTGGAAGTTATTCACCATCCGGAAGAGGCTCTTAGGACAAGCCTTGTAGTAAGGGAAGCATTCTCCTGGGCCAGACTTACCTTTTCCAATGTTTTCCGCTGACACATACTCATCTAAATGCTCTGAGTATGGCGATAGCGAGGCTCTAAAATAATATTTGAAAAGCATTGTATTTTGAGTTTTATTGGGCCTATACTAACTTTCTTGTACTCACGTGAAAAAGAGTTTCAATATCTCGCCTATCAGTCCAAATCTTTCCACCGGTTTCGAATGGACTTCGCAAATTGCTCGCAACATACAGGCTTTTCCATCAACTCCAAAGTTGGCGATGAAGTCCTCAACCACCGTATACAGCAGTGCTCTGCAGAAAGAACGAGACAAAATCAATAAAAATCTTACCATACCAATAAATCTTTCGGCATTGTCCAAAAATAAGCCAAACAAATAACCTTTCTCCTCCATGGAACGCATGCTTGTGTTCGTCTGGTAATTCGGGTGTTTTCGGTTCGCCTTCTTCGCCATCGATAAAGTTAGTGGTGATCTTGAAATTATCATTTCCGGAAAAGCTGGGTGCGTTACGCTTTCGTCTTCTGGTGCGCATGTAATCAGAAACATAATCGGCCAGAATGCTTCCAGCGGCTCGTCCCATGGATCTAGCCAACAAAGGTGGCAACACACCCAATGGGTTCTGATTATCTGTTAGTCCCAATTTGTCGAAGTCAACTGTATCAAAAAAGAATAAATTAGATGACATTTTTCAACAATAAAGCACTTCAGCGGGTATCTTAAAATATAAAGGCAATAGGGTTTAGATCTAATGTCAGTTCTACTAAACATAATCCACGCTTGATGATTACGTGTTTGTGATTTCGTTGCGTATTTTTCTTGCAACAAATTGAAGTGAAAGAATAATTTAAAAATATTAGTTCTGAATAGTTTTTAATATTATCATGTTGGTATGGTATGTAGAATGATGACTTTTTTTTTATTTCCCTTGATTAATGTGTTACATTTAAATTCTTTTGCCTGAAGGTTCTTCACATTTGGATTTAGGTTTTTATATATTTGTTGTTCAAGTGTTTATTTAACTTTTTTCACATGCCCGTCGCTACGTTCCTCTAACTATAAAAACACCGGCAGCGTAATAAACTAAAGTAACTACGCATCTGGACACACAATGTATTTTTTTAAGTTAAGGAAGCATGCCTGCTTGTATGACAAATCATGAACAAGAGCATTATTTGTATAATAAAATATGAGCACAGCCAAAAACTATACATGTGACCATGGATTTGCTCCTAATTAAATATACAAATAATGCTCATGCTCATAGTTTGCCATACAAGTATATCCGCAACATTAGAATAATGCAAAACATAGCTGCCAATCCTTGAAATAAATTGACTCACATGGTTTTTTTGTTTTTGTTGTTCAGAATAAAATATTTTACAGGTATAATTTCTGGTCATGTGTTTGGGTTTTAAGAGGTTAAATTATTCGTTGGAACACACTTTAACAATTATATGATTAATGACTTAAAACCCCGGTTTTATAAAGTTATGATGTTTATGATTATTATGATATCACTGAAATCAGTAGTATTATCACCGACAAATCAACATGAAACTTAAACTTAACTCTTGATCGAGAATCCATAACGGCCGTTTCAAATAAGCAGCGAACCCATCTGTCAAAACCATAGAAATATTTTATCTAGATAAAAATAATTTGTCCGAAATAGATTAGACACGAACCAACTAATAAATTTTGTACGCGTGTTTCTTACCTAGGATAAATATTTTCCGCGAACACGGCGGCAGATGTCAGTTTTGTGCTTTGATCAGAAATTTCTTTGTACTTCGTATGGTCACTTATATCGGTTTGTCGGTGGTATTATCAACTATTTCCTTTTAATGGCTCTCTCAGTCTAGGGTAATCCAAACGGTCACGTTTCGGCCGTTTATTGTGGCGTCGAGTAGTGCATAACTGGTCGTTTAGATTATTTTACACTGAGAACGCAATAAAAAAGGATTTACCTCAGTGTTCGAAAAAAAAACACAAAAACTCAAATTTCATGCAACCCTCCCGAGATGATCTAGCCTACGGCAAAAAAAAAATCTCAAAAATAAAAAAAAATATATATTTCATGCACCTATAAGATTTACCTAGCAAAATTCAACTTCATAAAAATCGCCGAAGAGTTTTCAGGTTCAATAATTAATTTCTTTAAATTTTTACGTTATTCATTGATATTACTACTATTTGTGCATCGGGGATTGGAAAACTTACGCAGCATTCATAAGCATGCTATCAATTGACGTTTGAGTGGATTTTATGAGTTTTATGAGTGGAATGATTTTTCGGCGTTGTTAGTGCGAGTGCGTGAATATGCATGAGAATCTCAAGCGTGAATTTATCCTCGCAAAAATTATTGAGATTTGAAAATGCTTTTCCGAACACAATCTCCACATAGGGAAAATTGCTCTAATGTTGGCCTATGGATCTGATGACTGGGCTTATCGTTAAAAATCTAATGTTCTTCAATTTTTCTTAGGCAACACAAATGAATATTTTTCGTTGCTATTGAAAAATTGTGTGAACATGCTTTCCTCCAAAACACTTAGGCTGGTCTTGGGGACATTAACCCTACAGGCCCAAGCGCAATAACAGCGGAAGCGGAACGGCAGCGCCAGCGGAAAAGCCCATTCTAAGGAAGCCTACTTTTCGGGTAGGAAACTAGTTAGAACCAAATCGACTTCGATTAGACATCTTGATGTCATTTGTAACAACTGTCAAACTAGCCGTTTCCGTTCCGCTTCCGCCCACATTACATTTCAGCCTTTCCAGTCGAACAATCTACACAGAAATAAAAAACTACCCAAAATTTAGGTTAAAAGAACCCAAAAATAAGTACATCCGTTAAAGTATCCCGTTGGGTAAAAATCAAATGACGCGTTGATTCATTTTTACCCAACGGATAAGTAATGTGTAGATTACCTAAAGTTAGGTCGAAAAAAACTTGTAAATTTTTTGTCAGGGTGCGGGAGTAATAAATTTTATATATTGTATCATTATTTCAATTAAATGTTTGATTATCACGATATATTTTCATAATTTGACTTATTATTAACAGCAACGTAATTTTTTCAGACAAATTCACCATTTAATTTAGTTTATAAATCATAACCGCAAAATCGACTTCAATTTACTCAACGCTGAGTAACTTTGAAGTTGTCGTTGAGTAAAAATAACCCAAAGATGGGTAAAAAAATTCCCTGTCGATTTGGCTTCAGTGACGCCATTTCTAATTTGCATTTCGTACGAAAACCAATGTCCGCGTTGTTCTACACTTTCGAATGTAAATTTTCTTTAGTTAAATGTGTCTTTAATTCACGGATTCAGTGCGCGAGTTGCGAGAAATCAGTTAGGATCTGAATAATTGGAGCCTGGCTAGCAACCCGCTACAATTACGACTTTTCCGTATTTGGATTCTGTGCTCGGAAGGAATTCCTGGTAATTAAAGCGTGAACTTTTATTTCTCATAAACTTTGATAACTAAATTAATGTATTTAATTTTAGGTTTTCATCCCGCCATTCCAGCATCGATTACAAGCGAGTTTGCTGGCAAATTCGTTGGGTCGTGTATGTACTGACATCGGTGGATAACAGGATCCGAAGCAGTCATCGTTAATCGACGTGTTGCTACGTTTGTGTTTTGAATAAAACAATAAAAGATCGTTTCCTGGCACGGTTTTATTACCATTTACATATCACACTATCCTATTATTAATTATCTTTTCCCTCATCAAAAGTTCCACCAAAGCAGTTCTGCCTGTTGAGTAATTTTAACCCAATGGTAGGTTATTTTCTGGCGTTAAAATTTACCCATTGGGTCATATTGGGCTATTTACCCAAAATTGGGTATTTTAGTGTTTACCCAAAAATACCTTCTTGCACGGAAGTTCGAAGTTGAGTGAAAAGAACTCAAATTTGGGTAGTTTTCTATTTCCGTGTAATAACTTGTCAACTATGTATATTTTGCTCCACCCCGCTCAATCGATTCTAAATCAGGTCCTGATCATTCTCCCAAAATTTGAGCTCAATTGGTTGTAATCTCATATTGCCCTTTAAAGATTAAAATGGGAATTATTATGGGAAAAGTGAACATTTTGTTCGCCTTGCCTAACCTATCACCAGTTCAAATTTGATGTAAAAAAATAATTCTTTTAAACATGAGTAAAGCATAGCCCACTAAATGTAACAACATCATTTGGGTCTTTTTTAGATTTGAATTAACGGATTTGAAAAAGGTTTTCACTCAAGTACATACTATTACTGACATTTTAAATACGAAACGAATTATTCGTCACGATTTCGAAGAAATTCTCGAACATTTCCCTTAATACTGCCCATCAAGCGGTGCACAACGGACTCGTCCACTTTTTTAGCGATTTTATCGCACCAATTTTTCATCTGAGCTGCCGTTTAGATTACTGTACCTTTCACCTTCCGTTTTCTCTTAATAATTGCCCAGTAGTTTCATTAGGCCTGAACAGGGGACAATTGGACGGATTGAGGGTTGTCGGAACAAACTGCACTCCATTGTCATTGTACCATTGTTGTACTTCCCGGCTGTAGTGACAACACGCAAGTTCCGGCCAAAATGTCACCGGACCATCATGGCAGGGCAAAATTCGCTTCTGGAGACATTCGGTTTTGTAAACCTCCGAGTTCATCATTTTCTCAGTGACGAAAACATTTGTCTTCTGGCCGCAGCTGATATTCCCTGCCAGCTCATGTATTTGCGTGCAAATCTATCCGCAAAAATAAATTTCAATCTGCCTTGGACACCTCCTCGAGCCTTCGTCTTGTAAAATGTTGGTACTGGAAGTTGTCCGAAGTCGGCCTTTACATAGGTTTCATCATGCATAAGTATGCATCCAACGGACTTGGTCAGCAGGTTGTCATACAGCTTTTGAGCACGGATTCTAGCTACGGTATTCTGTTTGAGTGATCGATTTGGTTGCCACCTGGCGCGGTATGCATGTAATGTCGTTTTCGTTTTTGCGGTGTAGCTACACCGGTGCTACACTGCCGAACACCGAAAAAATTTAGGGTGTAGCTATCGGTTGCACCTTTGTTTACAAACAAATGATGATGAACTGTCAATGACTCGCACTTATTGCTGCTTACACTACACCGGTGTAGTGTAGTAAAAACGAAAACGACATAAGCCTTTGCGAATTCGCTGCACTGTACTACGGGCGGCATCATTCTTTTTATTCAAATCACGATCGGACATACCTCGGTTGCTTCTGATGGACCTCATGATATTTCCATGGAGCTGACGGTTGGCAGTTCAACTCCGGCGTTTACTTTGAGGCTTCCAATTCGTCGTCAAGGTTTCCCTGTACGATTTGAGCATGCGCCATACGGGTTTTCTAGGAAAATTCAACACTTTAGCCAGCTTGGACGCGGACCACGAAGGATTTTTCAGGTGATTGTCTCCAAAACAAGAGCGTTTTATGAACTGAAAAATACTCTGTTATTGTTATTATTGTTGTCAACAAATAAACGTTGAAAACTTCCGAAAACTTCCACTGAAGGGTGTACCGTTTAAAATCCGCACACACAAAGTTCATTTTCAAAATTCGAGTTTTTATCCGATTATCACCAAATTTTCAGGGAGTAAAAAAATCAATTAAAGTTAGTTTGACACCATTCTTTTAATTTATTTCGCCTTTATATCCGAGTGCGCGAACCTTAGCCCTTACCCCAGCCATAAGGTTCTGCACGACCTCAGATTCGACAGTTTGTTTTGCATACTAACCCATGCTTTCTTCATTTCTTCTACATTCTTCACCACTTTAGGTCGTTTTAAAAGGTGCTCCTTCATAATGGCCCAGTATTTTCTATTGGGCGCAGTTCCGGAGTGTTTGTGGGGTTCAGATCTTTCGGCACGAAATCGACATCATTCGCCTTATACCACTCTAGCACGTCCTTCGTATGATGCCAAATCAGCCCAGAAGATCGTCGGACCGTCGGTCGTGAGCCTTCGGAAGAGGGAGAAGCCGCTTTTGGAGACATTCTTCCAAATACACCTGTCCATTCATGGTGCTTGCTGTAACGAAAGGTGTACTCCGCTTTCCGCAAGTACAAATCGCTTGTCAAATTAAGAACTTCTTGGCGAACTTCGACATCTTCTGTGTCCGGAGGTTCTCGGGAATATCACATAAATCCTTGGCAGTCACATACAGGTTTCCTGGAATCTGGTTGAAGTCCGCCTTCTCATATGTCTCGTCATCCATTACGCAGCAGTGTGGTTTCATTAACTTCTGGTCGTACAACTTCCGGGCATGGATTTTTGCGACCGAATTCTGTTTCTCGTCACGGTTTGGGGACTTCTGAACATGAATATTTTGAAATGAAAAGGTATTGAACAGGTAAAAACAAATGTTCCCTGCCATTTTCATGTCAAATTCAACAAACAAAAAACCAAATCATGTTTCAATTGTAGAAATAGTTGTGCACGGAAAAAGGAGCCGCAGATATGTTGGTGTTCAAATTTCCACTCATATTCATAATAATTATGTGTATATAGATCTTGATGCACTACACCCCCGGAGCTTAACATACGCTCTAGAAATGTGATGATCAATACTAGGTTCAATACATAGTATCAAATTTAAAAAAATATACTGGCTAAGGTAACAAGTTGTGAACTACGAGGCGCTTTAATTTTATATTACTTATGAGAGAGGGGAGCTTCACTTCCAAAACAGAAAACATATTTCGTGACCATGGCCATATGGAAAGTTGCCGCATATTCAAAAAGTTCGCAAGCACGCTAGCGTTACGTAGTGAGAGAGTTCTTAGCTAATATGACAACCATCCGAAAGACCATGGTCATCTAACAACTTAGCTGAAGACAATAATATTCTATATGGCCAGGATTTCGAGACACAGCGTATACAGGAAGTTCGCATGCAAACTTGCACCGCGTAGTGAGAGAATTCTGAACTACTTTGAACACCATCCGAAAGGACTTGGTCACCTGAACAACTTTGTTCAATACGGCAACTTTCTATACATCCATGATCAAGAAATATTATGTGTTAAAGTGAAGCACCTCTAGCCGCGTAGTTCACAATTAAAGCTCTATCCAATAGTACAAGCTTGTTGCAGGGCTGGTAGTGAGTCTGTGATTTAATAGTAGTGACTTTAGTGACTAAAATAACGAAAATAGTGACCAAATAGTGACTTTTAAACAATAAAAAAGTGACCAATAGTGACATTTATTGGTCAGAAAGATATGGTTTCAATCTTCTATTGTTTTCGATTGCCACTTCGAGAAATTTTATAAACTCACAAACCCACATTTTTCATGTTTCTAAAAAATAAAACAAACGGTTTATGGATCCCATTATCCTCAAAAAATAAATATGAATTGAGTAAGCATTTTTTTAAACAAACTATTTACTAAGTCGATATTAGCATCGAAAGCACACATTGATGATTAGATCGCAAAATTGAGGCACAGACAAAAATGTTCAAATTCAAAGATTTAGACAAATTTTGACAATTTTATTAAGACAGTCAATTTTAAAATACTAGGATATTGATGAAGCGATGCGATAAACGATTAGTTTTTTGATTAAAAAAAAATCGTTCTCCTATTTGTAGCCGCAATAACGCACTGGTCGTCTCCATTCCTTCCAAGAAGAGAATCTTCTGTACACAAGGAAACAAATTCATAACTGTGGGACATAGACAAATTTTCTAGATCGCAGTTTTCGAAAACCTCTCATTACTGTGGAACGAAGAAAATTATCCCAGATGGAAAGATCACGGACATAAAACAAAATTTGAATGCGTCTAGGTCTAAAAATCTCGATTGTGAAAAATTAGGGATTTAGGGATGCATTTTAGAGTTTTGGACAAAGGGGTAAGTCACTCAGCACATTGTGCCCAAATTAGATTCGGCACAGCTTGGGCACATCCATCTGCACATCTCGGCACAATTTCGTAGGCATTGGATCATTTTAAATAAAATGGGATCACTGCTAGACAACTGTCATTGAAGTTGTTCACAACATTATGTAATTGAATATACCAGAGGAACTCAGACCAGCAGTTAAAATATAGATCTAAATACGAAATGCAGGTTCTACAGTGGGCTCAAGAGACAGAGGCAGTTAATCAGACCTCATTAATACCCTTAATTCAAATAATGCTGCAACTCACACTAAACAAACTACAGAAGTCTATTCATCATCCTCTATAGTCGATCTTGAACCATGTTCCCCACCGGTTCCAACTCTTTCCGGCCGCTAATAGACCGTTGCTTTTCACATCACGAAAGGCTAGGTTTCTGTTCTGCCTTTGAGGGCATTATAAAACCCTAAAACACAGAACTTTTATTAACCTATGAACACAAAACACCAAAATTTCGCACACCCGCCACTTCCCGCGTCATCCTCAATCCGATTTATTCCTGCGATTTCAAACAAAACATTCAAGGTGCCAGAAATACCGGGTTGCCGGGATGGGCATTTTACAAACAATCGCAGCTTGCTCTATGACCGGCACAATCGGCACACCTGTGGCACACTGACAAAAAAGATGACCCAAGATTGGTGTGCGGAGTGACCTCTAACAACCAAATTGAGAAAATTGCAACCTGCGAAACCTCTTACAATTTGTGATAGGTCAATAACCAATTCGAGATCAAACAATTAAAAATATTAGTGATTTCATCAACATCAATTTTACAGTTAGCATTTCCGTCTGTTCGCAACTTTTCTTGTCCGTCAGAATTTACACGCATTTTTAATGAATCTTTCTAACACACATTTTTTACCAAATCAATCTGTGATTTGATGTGAGTTTTTGAAGTAATTTGTTTTTTACTCTCAACATCGGTAGTAAAAAAGTGACTTTAGTGACTAAATTTTAAGGAATAGTGACTTTAGTGACCTTTTGATGAAAAAAGAGACTTTTTAGTGACTGGCTTGAAAATAGTGACCAAGTCACTAAAAAGTGACCTGCTACCAGCCCTGTTGTTGGCCTAACCCAGTTAAATAACTTTGTAGAAGACAGTACTGCTTTATATATTGAAATTAATGAGATAATTCTTCAAAGCCCCTATTAGTGAAAATCCCATAAGCTGTGGGTAATAGCCTTGTTCGCGGTACCTTATTCACACTCCCTATTAACCGTGAATAAGCATTCCTGGTTGTAATTTCCACACATTTTAATAAAAGCAGTGTTGCAAGACTTTCCAGCCAATTAAAAACCAGCATAGAGTTCAAATTTCGGTTGAATAAAAGTGCGTGGAATTAGATGCAACGTTGAGCGGAATTTCAAACATCGCTCGAATCAGTGCACGGAATTATATCGTCACATAATTTCGCGAGGCAAATTTTGAAATGTTGATACTGGTTTTTACATATGTTATTTTTTTTAAAATGAAAATACGATAAAAAATCTATCAAATGATACATTTGACGGTGACTTTTCTCTTTATCCAAATTTCTGTAGAGAGAAAGTCTTTACTCTCGCGTTAAGTGCGTGAATAACCCATATTCACGGTATACATTTATTTCACTTAATTTATTAGACGCCATAAAACACCAAGAAATAGCAATATTAGAAACAATTATCCTTGAATAATTTGACTGATAACGTTTCGCTATACATACTTCCAAGGGAGAATAATGTAAACTAGTTATCAAACAAATAAAAATTTTCAAAATAAAACCCAAATCCAAAGGCGAATAGAAGCCTCCAGGTGAAATCAAACGAATTGTAACAGCAAATTTTAGACCTTAATCGAGGAAAATAAAATAAAAAAGTAATTATACTACAACTACTACTACTACTACTTTCACAATACCAATCAAAATTGGAGAGCAAACCCAAGGTTTTATTTGTGAAAAATGACCTGCACCAAATAGAATTTTGCTCAATTATGCATGTTCCAATAGGAATAAGTGAATGGTTTAGTGCGCGATGTAAAAAATACGCGTAATTTCAGTGTTATTCTTACTCTCAGCGGTACTTACTCGTTACCGGCAAGCTGATGGAAATGTTCGAGAGAAATCCCGTTGGCGGGTAGCGCACGAATGGCAGCGCAATTGTCGGTGCGATGGTTAGCGAAGTGCCCGGGGGAAGTGCCAGCCTACCATCGTCCGTTACCCAAATCAGTCGCTTCTTACGACTGTGTGGTTTCTCCGACTCGCTGACGATCTTGTGCGTCGTCGTCGTCGCAGCATCATCTTCAGCTTCAGGAGATTCCCGGTGCTCTTGGATAAGAGGCTCGCTACGATACTGCGATGCTGTATGGCGATAATCGTCGTTCGACACATACTTTTTCCTATACTTTTTGTTCTCCTTCAGCAAGTATTTCTTCACGCTTTTAGTTGCAATCGCCTCCGTACTTGCAATTATTTCATCCAAATTGTAATTAGATTCAGCTTCTTGTTTCACGTCATCCACGTTGTCTCCCAAGTTGGACTTGGATGTTTGTTGATATTGCTTTTCTGAATTATCACTAATGTTGACTGGATTGAAAGACTTGTCGCTACTACTGCTTCTACTATTACTAGTTTTAGTCGAACTACTAGTATTGTCCGTACTGACCGTGTTGTGTGTCACAGCCGTGTGAGAAACTACCGTCAGTAGGATAAATGCTGCCCAGCACCATCGTATTTCCATCTTATTTATTATTTTGGCAATCAGTAGTTGAGGTAGTCAGGAAGCTGTAATCAAAATAAAAAGAAAGTATTTGAAAATTATCACGTAAAAAAATAATAAGAAGCAGATCCTTCCAACCTTCTCGTCATTTGCTGTGACCCTATTTTGATACTTTTATGCATCTCATAGTCTATAAAAATCAACACGACCTACACGGTAATAGCTGTTATTACCGATGACACCAGAAAATTAAATTTCACCTTCAAAAGCGAATAATAAAAGAGAAATAAATTTTCACCATGCGATGCGTGATTAACATGCATTCAGCGACTCGACCCCGTATCATTGGGCCAATCAATTAAGGGTGGGTCGCATGTGTGGTTGGATTTGCATGCTCATCCTCAAACCGGCTTTCGGAAGCGTGGCTACATATTTGCAGGGGTGATTTCGTTTGTTTCGTTTCGAACCAAACTGCAGTTGGTTTTATTCCTAAACACAGTGCAACCTTATATTTTCGCAATGAGATTAATAGAAAAAAAATTAGCAACGAATATGTATAAACAACACGTAAATTTCAATTAATTTATGCTCAAGACTAAAAACTACTACTATTAAGAAAACTAAATACAGATTAGTCATCAAATTGTATTAAACAATTAATTTATTAATTTTTGATATTGGTGTTGGTGTCCCCCCCTCCAAGTACTGTGCTTCTTAAAAAATATATTGCTCTATATTTTATACTATTTTCCAAATTTCATGAAATAGCTCCCAACCGATTAGGATTTACCAATTCTTTGTTACTGTAAAGGTTGAACATACATAAATAATTGTAAATCCTGCGCTGTCAAAATCACTATAAAAACCGCTGAGCTGTTTCACGCAACCGTGTAAAAAAGACTTCAGTGTACATAATAATTTTGTGTTTTTATCAAGCAGCACTTCTAGTATAGCATCTAAACTAGAAATGCTGTCTGATAAATTCACTAATGGGGTTTAAGAATTTCAAGAAAAACCCAAAATAAACAGGTGCGTTTTATACCATTTTCCCCATAATGTGGAAGCTCCATATTTCCGACCAGTTTTTGATAAGTACATTTTACATAACAATCAAAATAGTAAATTTTCCTGACCTGAGAATAAAAAATCTGAAGGATTATTTTTAGCGCAGGTGCGGAATAAACAAAAGTTGTCTTAGTAAAGAAATGCAAGTTTTCTGTGACTACGATACTGCAAATCTATCTCGATCATCAAGTTCTGGAATTCACATTGAAAAAATAATAATAATTACCGTCCACAACATTTCTTAATATAAATTAAAAAAAAAAACTATCAGTATTTTATTAATATTTGGGACCAGTTCAATTTATAGAAAATGCTTAATTTACTACAAAATTCCTTAAATTTGGAGCAATGTTCAAGGTGTACAAGAAACGAGAAATTTCTGAAGCATAAAATTAAAAAAAAAAACAGATGAAAGAGCATTATTTTATCTAAAAAAAAAAACAAACCATCAACTTCAGTTTTATTCCGAAAACTCTGCTGAGTCACGCTGTGCGGATCATGCAGACTTTAATGCAAACAGACTAGGTACTGGAAAACAAGTTTTCCAGTCACGACTTGACTCCATGTGATGAGGGAGCAAGAATTGTCACTACAGACTTGTGTGCATCTGGGAAATGCCGGATGATAGTGAGAGTTTTTCTTCTGCCTTTTGCTTAGAAAAACCACTTTCATTTTCAGTATGAGCTCAGCTAAATATCGTCACTGAAGACAAGTTTCGGTCGTATTTTTACCTAGCTGATTTGCCAGTTTACGGAAGTTTATGAAATTTGGCATAAAGGATTTACCTCATAAAAATATATATTTACTTTTAACTGGGTTATAAGGCCGTAACATAACAGATAACAAATAGTACTATTAAAAGCATGTATGTTTGTACACCTATGTTATTTTCACATAGTCGCACTGAATTTGAAAATGTATGCTCCAGTGTGTTGGACCAACTATACTCGGACTTTCATGACGCACAAAAAAAAATGATTCTGTACCCGATGACGTGTTTCACTTTTAACAAATGTAAGATTTGTCTTCTATCTGCTTGTTAATGAATTGTCAATCGAAAAATCAAAACCATGTTAAATTTACGGAAATGGAAACATCATTTACACATTTTTGCGGGGTCGTCACGAAATGGGTATTCATGATTCGAAAAAGTGGGACACGCCGGGAGACGTAAAAAAAGAAAACAAGTATTTAGGACACGATGCGCACTTGAGATGCAAGCAATATGACGCAAATTGTGTCCTCGCGACGTTGACCCCGAAATTATGAAAGATTTCACTTTTATGTTGTTCATTTGGAAGCGTCTTCTTTTACGCTGACCGGAATAAGTACAGCACATGCATAGTAAAAGTCAGACTCGATTAATACCCATAACTGACTTTTTTCATTTCTTGCGAATTTCGAAATTATTTCAAGCCAAAACGCATGATATCCATACATTGTCTTGCATTTTTTCGAAAAAATGCAACATAATCTTGTAAATATGCCATAGAATCTTGCAAATTAATTGTGGGTGTAGTTAAACTGTAGCCCTCCCCCCTTCATGTTTTGCACACTCAGCTGGTCAACCAGGGTGGCCACTTTGTTCAAGCATCTCGTCATCTCTATAGAATCCCGAGCCACCTTGCCAATCTTCTTCAACCTCCTCTTGATAATTGCCCAATATTTCGCAATTTGACGGAATTGAGGTTCTTGGCCTTGGATTAACGACCTTTTCGACAAAATCCAAATTGTTATCCCGGTACCACTATAGCACCTCCCAACTATAGTGGCAGCTTGCCAAAGCTGGTCAAAACTTCACGGGTCTTTTGTGCGATTTTATAAAGGTCCAGGTCCCATTCGTGCCCATCCATGACGAAAATGCGGTATTTTTATCCACAGCTACAAATTCCTTGCCAAATCATCAGTTTCCATGCAAATTTATTGGCAAACACAAACTAAAACTTGGCAGGGACATCTCCTCATGACGTGGCCAGATAGAATTTGTGTCCATGAAACTGCCCGAAATCCATTTTCACTGCCCTTTGGTTCAATGAGGGCTAGGGCGCGTTCTGCCAGGTTGATCGAGACAGATTTCACGTGTGTGTAAGTGATGACACTGGACATAAGACTGATGCAAAATTTGAAATTTTCGCTCCACAGTGTTCAAACAGTTTCACATCGGGTCCTGATTAGCCTCCGAAAGTTTAAACTTATTTGATAAGAAACTGACTAGGCACAAACCATTTGAAGTTTATATGGAAATTACTATGGGAAAACAAAACTTTTTGTTCATTGTCATTTAGCCTTTTTACATATTGGACTGTAACAAATTCTATTGCTATTCTTATGGTAATTTTTATCAGCTACAACTTTGCAGTCAAACGTCAAATTAAATAGCTATTAATTGTTTAAGAGATTGATAATCTTATGGCAAGATTAAGCAACTCTATTGTGGGTAACACTTTATTCTGCAGTGTTACATAGTAGCCATGATTTTTGTCCTCTATTCTACGCGCCACAAACACCAATGTTGCCTGCTGAACAGATGATTGAGCATAATCATAAGATATTAGTGACTTGAATCATTGATAACTTTTGTTTCTTACATTTGATTGAAAATTAGTCTTCAACAAAGTTGTAGCTGAGTAAATTTTCAACAAGCTCAGCTATAATTTTATAAAGTAGAGTAAACTTGTGAATTTTGAGATAGATATGAATCGAAATTATGGTTTCTCCATAGTATTTAATTCCCATATAAACTTCAAATGGTTTGTGCCTAGTCAGTTTCTCACTAAATGAGTTCAAATTTTGGGAGGCCAATTTGGAACCGTTTGAGCACTGTGGAGCGAAAATTTCAAATTTTGCATCAGTCTACTGGACATTGTTATGTGCAATGCAATGCACTTCAAAAGGTGCGTTTCATATTCCACCACATGTAGTTTAAAAGAGCCTGAATACAATGTGGCGCTTGCGAAGATACCTTGAATATACGATATGACGATAATACACAAATAAATGCTTCCAGAAATTAGCTAAGCTAACATATTGAAAAATGTATTAATTCCTAGTCAACAAATTTAATGATGCATTGAAATTTCTTTAATTCTTATTAAATTTAAATGTTCCTTAATTCACATCCGTTGAACCATTCTGGACGGTCATCCCGTTGTGGTTTTATCACAGCATTGCTAGTAATGTATATATTTATATCTTTTTCGGTACCATGGAGTCAACAAAGTAAAAGTGAAAGAAGAGCTGCAACATGGAGCACATGCGATACGACAATGAAGTGATGCTCGTTAAAAAAATACCCGCAGATGGGCACTGTCTATTTTCCACGCTGGAGTTACAGCTTTATAAGACGCAACTAGGAACTGAAGTAGCTCGAGCCATAACAGCAATTTATAAAATAACGAACATTTTGGCGAGTGACACTTGTCTTTGATAAAAAAAAACACGTCTACTGAGGATTCATATTTCTAAAAAAAAATCATCTATCAATGAAACAGTCATCAGTCGTCATTGAAAAGCAATGCAACTATGTTCTGCCAATCTAGGTAATTGAAACTTTTATTGGCTCTGTTGTCTTGTGAATTTTAGCTGTAACGGCCTCTTTTCTGATTTTTATCTCTCAATCTATGGAATCTACACGAAAATTATGCCGAAGACTACACATTTTTATATCATACTAGCTGAGTGTGCCCGGTCTTGCTCGGGATTCAATATTAGCTTGAGTTTATGCACCGATTTAAAAAAAAGCATGCTATATTGTACGTAGCCCCCCCCCCCTATTATCTAAGGGGCTACCCCCTATGATTATCTCCTTATACCCCCACACTTGCCCCCACATGCCTAATTTGGTTCCATTTGCTTGATTAGTTCTCGAGTTATGCAGAAATTTCTGTTACATTTGTATGGGAGCCCCCCCATACAGAAGGGGGAGAGGTCTCCAACCATCATAACAACCTTCTACGGCCCCAAAAACCCCTGTATACAAATTTTCACGCCAATCGGTTCA